GACAGGGCAGGGACAGGGAGACCACATGCTCATGCAGACAAGAGTTAAGGGTTAGCGACGGCCCCCAGCACACGTTCCACATGTTAAGGCATCATGGTTAGACGGTGACTGACAGCGACAAATGGACTGGCCAGGGAGGGATAAGTGGACCGGCCAGGGCCCTGCAGTGCATACCCCAGCTCAGCCAGGGCAGATACGGGGCTATGTAGCCCCATAGCTCCTAGCCCTTCTGAGAGCCAGGGCCTAGTCTGGGCCTGGGGGAGATCACAGCCAGGGAACCTGGAGACAGAAATGGGGGGAGGTCGGGCTGGAGCCCCCCACCCCAACACGGCACAGGCAGAAGCAGCAACGTGACACTAGAGACCATAGGGGCCTATGGGCAGAAGGGCAGGGAACAGGTGGGTGGAGGAGCTCTCCAGAGATGGACCGAGGGGGGATGGAGGTGGTGGGGAGGGGCCCTGTCAGCACTTTGGTTTGGGGTGGGGAGGAATATGGGGAGGGTCATGTTCGTCCGTCCATCCGTCTGTCCGTCTACCCTGCCCACCTCCCAGCCAGGCCTCAGTCCTTCCATTCCTTTTTGATGGTCAGGTTCCATTCCCAGGACAGATGGTCAGTCTTGTCATCATCTGTGAAGCGGGACTTGATGTTGTAGCTGCCCCGAGCCAGCATGCCCTTGGGTGCTTCCTCCATGGGTGTCAGGAACTCGTACTCCTCTGCCCTCGGCCCGTAGCTCCCCACCATGTAGTCAGTCTTGTCAACTGTGGGACAGAAGAAAAGGCACGGCCACCGGTGCTGCCAGCCCCTCCTGGGAAGCCCACAACCCTTCCTCCCTTGGCACTGACTCACTCTTGACACCTTTCCGGTAGGTGTGCTGGATATACTTCATGCCAGACACAATCTCCCTGTTCACCTGCAAGGTCCCAAGCCAAGGATTAAGTCAGGTTTTCTAGATTCCCCCTCCCAGTGTCTCCCCAAACCTGGGCCTTACCCGGAAAGAGATTTTTATCCGGTATTCCACACCCTCTTTGAGCACGAAGGACTGCTTTTTGAAGCTTTCCAGATCACCTGTGGTGGGGAGGCAGCTCAGCCAGGAGCCTGAGAGGCCCCACCCCCCACAGGCAGCCTCCTTAGGCACAATTAGCCTCACCAGAGGGCGCCACAAGTCCAGGAAAATTATTTTTAGGGCTAGCTGCAGCCAACAGGGGCCCCACCCTAGGACAATGGTGCCCACTTACCTGTCAGATCCAACTCCAGTGGGCCAGGGGCTGTGCTACACACTAGGGTCAGACGGGTCACAATGACGTTGGGGCAGTTGGGGTCTAGGGAGACAGTAGGTTAGAACTTACTTCTAAGCTCATGGCTCACTCCCAGAGGCATGCAGCCAAGGGAGGAGCAGGGAGCACAGCATAAGTGAAAGATGACAGGTGTAGCGGTAGACCTATGAAGAGCTGCCCCTCAACAGCCACTCACCAGCAGAGACAGCCACACGGCCCAGCAGGGCTTCCTTGTACTTGCGCAGGCTCTCGTCGTCTTTGTCCAGCTCCTGGATCTCCTGGATGCTCTTCTGGGCAGGGGGCTTATAGTTGACTGAGTGTTCATCCTCCTCGTTCTCAGCTGCGATCTGGGCCAGCTGCTCAGCTGTGGGCTCCTGCTCAGCCATGCTCACCTATGGCCTGGGTCTGGGACACCTGTGGGTGGGGCTGCGCTGTGAGGCTTGGTCAGTTTGGGACCCTACCCTCCAGCCAACCCTAGACAGGGTGCTGTGGGCTGTGCTAAAGGGGGTGGGTCAAGGAGATGCTGTGGTGAGCACCAGGCACCGCGCATGATAGCGCCTGGCCATCCCACTAGGTTACCAGGAACTAAGTTCGAAATGCTGCCTATTCCTCAAGGAGGTAAGGCACCCCCCACCCCACGCACCAAGTGCAGCCCTCAGACCCAGCTGGCAAGGACCACTCAATTCGTAGGGTACAGTGGTTTCTCAGCAGTCCAACCCATTGCCCCAAGGAAGTGCGAGAGTTGATTCACAACCTGGGTGTGCCTGAGGAAGTATGTTCCTGTCATGGCCACGTGCAGGGCACCGTCGGTCCCAGCACATCGGAGAGTTCTTATTTCGGGTCTGCCTACATCCTAAAGGGTGCAGTGGGGCGCGCGGCCCCTTAAGCATCCTTACGTTGTCCCCATTTGGGAGGGCCTGTTGCTACAACTTGGGTTGCTGCAGTGCTCAGCGATCGAAGAACCCTTTCTGGATGCTGGCCTGAGGGCGCCCGAGGAGGTGCCCACCCCACAGAAACGGAAGAGGTCGCCCCCGAATTCCTTGGGCCTAGACTGCTGCATACGATCGCTAGGTCTTCGGGAGGCACCCAAAGCCCTTTCCGACCACTGCGGGCGGGCGGGCGGCACGGTAGGCGAGAACAAGCCCTTTCCTGCGGCCTGCCCAAGGCCTGGGCTCTGGGGATGCAGCACGGCGCCGGGGCCTGAGGCCAGTCCAGGACCCCGCGGCCGCGCGGCGACAACATCCCGGGCGCGGTCCGCACTTCCGCAAGGGCTGCAATCTGGGCAGGGCGGGGCGCGCGGCAGGAGCTTGGAGACCGGGCCCCACTTGGGAGCTTCCGCGCGGCCCGGAGCGCACGATTGTGCCCAGAGCTCCCCGCCGCCGCGGGGAGAGAAGGGCCCACCCGGGCGGGGCCTGCGCTGTGCCCCCAGTCCGCCCCGCCCAGTCCGCCCGCCCGTCGTCGCGGCAGCCGTCTCGCAAACCCAAAGTGGCTCAGGCCGGCGGCACAAAGGTGAACTCCCTCCCTTAGCCGCGCGCCACCCGGGTACTCACCGGGGGCTCGACCGCTGCGCTCGCGCTCCCTCCCGCACCAAGTGACGAACGTCGCCCGCCGCCCGGACGGCCACTTCCGGGGTCACAAGACTTCCGCTCCTGCGGGCGGGGCCGACTGCGCATGCGCAGTAGGGCGGGGGGAGCTCGCCGCCATCTTGCGGCCAGTCTTGTGGGCGCGCCCCGCGTGGGCGGGCAGCCTCTGGAGCGGTGGCGTCCCGGCAACTGTTGCTCTGCGGGGTTTCAGTGCCTGGGTCCCCTGGGCCTGGAGGTGGCCCATGTTCTCTTTGGATCGACAGCCCTCGTGGGATGGCTGTGGTCCTGCGACCTCCTGGGTCTCCCACATGTCTCCCTCAAACAAGCTGCCATGGTGTCGCACCCCTTGACCATGGTCCTTCCTGCAGGCTGGCTCAGATCTTGGACCCGGCAGCCAGTTGCAATAAGCAGCGTCCCAAGAACACCACATGTCCCCATGAGACACCCGACACACAGCTGTGAGAAGTTCCCCGTGCTGCTGGTGCTACAGATGGTTGGCCAATTGTCGGCCTGGTGGGGAACAGCACATGACCGAGGCGCACAGCCATGCGAGGGCTTTGTGGGGTCTCGGAAGTTGACACGACAGGGCATTTTTGGCAAGATACTCATCTTGGCACTTTTTGGAGGTCTCCAGTGTTGGAGGGCTGTGTAAGAGTTGTTATGTATGGATAGTGTCCATGGCTTGAGGCACTTTTTTCTGTTCATACTGAATGAGTGTAGTTGTTTCCAGGCTTTAGGAGTTGCAAAAAACTTAGATAAGCCAAGTGGTTTTATTTGTTACTGGAAATCCAACTCAGGACCTGGCACTTGCCAGGCAGGTGCCTGTGCCTTTGAGTTATATTCCCGGCTGCCAAGCACTTTTAGAAAACCCAAAAGCTCTATGAGAAAATCCCAAACATACTTGTTAGTAATCTACCCCTATGTTAAAATGAACTGTGAAATTTAGCAGCTCCTTACACCCCCAATAGAGTAACTGCAGGCATTCTGATCATGGAGTAGCTCTGGGGTATTGCCATGGTACTACTGTGTCTACTTGTCCCCCCAAAGCCTCCTGCAGTCACTAGGGTAGGCTTCTAGAGTTTGTGATTAATTCATGGTCCAATGCTGAGATTATGGGTGTGAGTGCTACGCCATCCCCATAGCCTGAATGCAATATAAGGGAGGGAGAGAGGCTTGCTCTCTGCTGCCAGTGCTGTCTCTGTTCCCTTTTTGCTCTTGCTGTTTTACTGTTTTCTAACACCATGAACTGCTGCCCTCTGCCATGTGCCACTCTGCCTTGGAGCCAGCAGAGTATGGACTAAAACCTCCACAAACTCATTTTTTTTTTTTTTTTTCAGAACTAGGGATTGAACTCAGGCCCTTGTGTTGGCCAGGGAAGCGCTTATTCTACTGAGCCATCTCACTGGCCCCTCATTAATTTTGGATGTTGGGTATTTTGTTCCAGCAACTACAGAAATGTAACTGAGATATGTGGTGTCTGCTCAAAGCTGTCCCCAGTTCTTCCTGAGCATGCCTCCTCAAGGGGCAGTGGAAGGCACTGCCCCTCAGGACTGGCCCCCAAGGGAGGCCTCAGGCAGAGAGCAGCCAAGCAGAAGACAGAAAATTTAATCCCACAAGAGTCATCTCTTCTAAAATAACAAAAGGGGGTCCTGTGGTATAGTTCACTGGCACAAGTCCCTTCCTGTCCCTCTCCTTCTCTTCCTTTCCTTCTGTTTTTGAGGCAGAGTCTTACTATATAGTCTACACTGGGCTTGAACTTGTATGATTCTCCTGTTTCAGCTTCCTGAATGCTAGAATTACAGGTATGCACCACCATACTTGGTTTAGCTGAGCAATCTTGTAACATAGGAGGCCCTATCTCAAATTTTAAAAATAGATAAAAGGGCTGGGGATGTAGCTCGGTGCAAACTACCTGGATGTACATACACACACACACACACACACACACACACACACACACAACTTGGAAACAAACTTTTGGTGGTCTTTGAACTACCATGTATTTCAGCATACATTGTTTTTCTGTTTTTTGAGACAAGGTCTTGCTGTGTAGTCCAGGCTGTCTTGCACTGTCTTCAAATTTTGGGTGACCTTTCTGCCTCTACTTCCTGAGTGCTGGGAAAATAGTCCTGCATTACCATACCCAACTCAGCATGTATTTTATTCCTAAAGAAAAGGGTCCATAGATGGGCTGGTGAGATGGCTCAGTGGTCTAAAGCACCTACTTGGAACAAGCTTGGCAAAGCAGAGGGACCACAGTTCAATCCCCCAGCACCACATGCCAGCC